TGGGCGGCATACAAGTTTGATAATAAATAAATAAATAAATAAATAAATAAATAAATAAATAGAGAGTCAGTATGGATTGGCGATTAAGACGCTGGATTAGGAATAATGAGACCGTTTGTGGGGGGAAATTGGGAGATGGAATGCTATGTATACATCTTGTCTCCTGAATAAAGAATGGAATATAAATTAAATGCATACATGCATACAGTTATGGTAGCCTCTTCATTTGATGATAGTTTCATATGCTGGTTTACCTCTCTTTTGGGCTGATCTGAAGAGATGATGTGTGAAGGAAAATTCAGTAACTAGAATTGTAACTTGTACATTTAAAACATTACCTTGTATTTTCATTATATTTGTGTTTCCCAAATGCAGATCCAGCTACTTCATTATTGAATTAGTGAAATTAATTATTGAAAACAATGATTAGGGTGGAACTCTAGCTCAGCAACAGAACACCTGGAAAATATCTGCATTTTTATATCTCACACTTCTCATAAAGATGCCCAAGCATCTTTGTCAAGTACCCAAGAGAAGTTAGGGAATGTGTTTCAGGCTATTTATTCCTTCCACCTTCAGGAACAGAATCAAGACATTTATTTTCAGCCAGATGTTTTGAACTGAATTACTGTTAATAATAATGACTTTTGAAGTTTTCTATCAGATTTTAATGGTTATATTTTGTATTTGATTGTTAGCTGCCTTAAGTGTTCTATGGGTAGAATGATGGGAATAAGTTTAGATAATAAATTCTTCCTCAAACCATTAACAACAACTACCCAGTTTATATGCCTTTAGATAAAAGATGATATATTAGTATTCTCTTTTAAAGCAAGGTTGAATAAAAATAAATAATTGCATTGTATTTTATTTTCTTTAAAAGTAAGTTTCCGTGTTAATGCCCTCTAATGTCAGTCAGCTCTCTTGTGACAGTTTTTTCCTGTTGCAAGCTGTGCATCTCCTGCTGTTTTCAGTGCTATCCGCATTCCTCATTAGCCTCACAGTTATAAATGTGTTTTATTCCTGAAGTAAAATTCACAGCATCTGGGTGAAATGAAATTTTTAAGATGAGCTTCATGAATAATTCATCATTCACTTGCTAAGTAGTTTAATGAAACTTTTCATGACCTAGAATGACCCAAGTATTTCTTCCTTCGATGACATTGCATAAGGTGTTGTAATTGCAGTTTGAAATTGATCTTGATTTGTCCCTATAATGAAATGGAAATTATATGGTTACAATTCATAACTTAAATACAAAATACTGAGGAATTGGGTGTCATGTTTTTAAACCTGGGTTCATTTTACTGTTGCTGTCACTTAGTTCCAAACTTCTGGTTGCTAATTCAGTTATGCCATCTATAAAGTATTTAATATATAAATTAGGTGCTTGCTTTCATCAACATTTGACAAAATCATGTCTTCTAGTAAATGTTCTTTTTCAGCATTATTAACCATAAGGAACTCTACACTGCCATAATTGATTTTAAGTTCATATCTTAACAATGTCTAGGAAGAGGCTATGAACTAAATCCGCAGAAGTAACTCAATATTGTTATTGTCTTTGATAGTTAAGGTACTGCATAGAAAAACCTGCAGGTTAGATACACCCATTCATAAGTCTTGTCTACTTTAATGCCTGTTTCAACAAGATTTAAACAATGGCTCATGCCCTTCTTTTTAACATTTTTATATCAATTCCATCATTCAAGCTCTGTGTAAAAATAAATTTCTGACTAATAAGCCTATCTTCACCATTCCTTTTGTTAGTGGTTCAGTCATCTTATCCCAGTCTTGGATAGGCCTGAGGTGGAATTAGCCATCTACTGTTCCACAGCTAAGTTGATACTAACGAATATAATTACTAAGAGTCATGCTTCCGCAAGTGAAATTTAGATAATATTAGTACTGAACAAGTCACATATCAAGGTGTTTTCTTCCAATCATCTACAGGTTCAGGAAGAGAGATTTAAAGAATTCAGGCAAAAGTTAAGACCTGAAATCCTAACTGATAAACAAGTTGAAGGCAAGGCATGGGAAAGAATGAAAAGTTTACCGAAACCAGAGGCAGAAACTATCCCAATGAGAAAGAAGAATGCAAAGAGTTTTAAAGAGTTGTGAGTTGTGAGCTCACTGACACACAAAGAAGCAAAATGGAGATGCATAGAAAATGGAATCTGATAACTAAGGAAGAGTGCTAACTGGTAGTTCTAGCTGTAGGATACAGTCAGGCTAAAGTTTGAAATGGATCATGCTAGCCTTTTCAGCTGGTGATCTACTACTACTTTTAGATCCTTCTCACACAAAGTATCACCAAGCCTTTTCCTGTATCTGTGCATTTGATTTTTCCTGTTCATAAGGAAAACCTTGCTGTTATCACAGTTGAATACCCAAATTATTGGATTTGGTCCAATGTTCAGCTTCAGTTTATAATGTAATTTTGTCTTCTGAAATGTTAGCCAAACTCCCTACCTTGCTGTCATCTGCAAATTTGATAAGTGTCCCTTCTATTCCATCCCCTTTGTCATTGATAAAGATATTGGATAATAGTCACCCAAAGACAGAACTCCAGGGGACCACACTTCATGTCTCCAGGGTGATGCAGAACCTTACAGTGCTGCTTGGAATATTTAGGGATATCCTTGTGCAATATGTGTCATCAAAGTGTGTTGGCAAAATATTGTAAAGCTTGGCAAATTCTTGGGTTTGTACATAAACAATGCTGGCAACATTGCAAGGGTGGGTTGTTGGGTTTGTAATTAATAGAAATAGTGAATATTTAGTGATATAATTTGATTAAAAATCTGAGAAAAGTTTTTTTTTTTAAATTTAATGACTGATAATGTTCCCCTTCCTTTTTGACAGACATGCAGTGGTTATGGAATCAGGATGCATCTCGAGATTTGCTCCTTGCAGTTCATCCTCCCAATTATATTGTGTTATGGAATGCTGATACTGGCACCAAACTGTGGAAGAAAAGTTATGCAGAAAACATTCTTTCTTTTTCATTTGATCCTTTTGATCCTTCAAATTTAACACGTAAGTATGATATCAGAGAACTAGTGCTCTTCTAGTCCACAAGAATTACTATTGGTATTAATCAGGTATTTGCTATTGGAACATAACTGCCAGTTGCAGAGAAATACAATAAACATGAGGTAGAAAGCAGTATAGGATGATTTAACAGTATGACATTTTTAGAAATAACTTGGAAACTAATTGTGATTTGAAGGTTGCTAGTTTGAAACTTACCACAGCTAAAGCTACTCTGGTTGTCTCAGTTATTTGACAGATTTTTGTTAAACAAAAGGATAAGTTTTCAGATTCTAAAGCAGACTGAAAAAAAATGAAGGATAAGAACAAGAGTTTTGAATTTGCAGTGATGTATCAAAACAAATGCATATTGTGCTATGCTGTTTTGTAACCCGACATCAGAACATGACTAGTGTAAAGAAGCTTCCAAACTGCTCAGCTAATGTCCATTCATACTGTGTAGTTCAGTGTTTTGTACAGATGTGTTATTCTATAATATAAATGAAGCATGTATTCATTTATTTATTTGATTCATACCTGTCAGGCCCAGCCCAAGAACAACAGGGAAACAGTCCATCCAAGTTCAGTTCTTTTAATGCTTACGCCATATAGACAAAACCTTGCCAGATTAAACCTGTAATATTGCAGCTAGTGGATATACCCTGGGAGATTCTAGGGAGTGGCTATTTTAAACTTCTTACCCTTCCCACACTCCTGCTCCAGACTGTGTTGTCTCTTATCTCTCTGCCCTCCCTGGAATGCACCCCCTCCTTCCTGAGAACCTTGCTGTCTCCTGTAATCTACCACATCACACACACACCCCTTTGTAGATACATTCCATCACAATACCTTGTCTTTCTGCTTTAGGGAGCACTCAGTCACTAATTTAAAAAAAACAAAAACAAAACAGAATATAAAAGTGTAAGTGAGAAAGTGTTTGCAGTAGAGATCACTATTTAGTATGTTTACTCAAAAGTATCTCCACCTGAATCCATTAGTACTCAGTTCCAAGTATGTAAGTACACTGTAAGTCTACTTACAGCTGTAAGTGTATTGAAACTTATGTAGTTAAGAACACCTGAAGGTTTTGAGAAGATAAAGCTGTGTTTAAAATGCTTCACTTTGAAGTAACAAGTACAATGTACTGAAGAACATTTTTGTTGGTACTCATAACTATACATAAAAACCCTATAAATGTAACTATTAAAGATGTTTGATCTCTAATGAATGGAAACAAAATGGTCATCTGTTTTCCAAAAACTCTCCTTTCAGCTGTTTGCCATCTATTTCAGCATGCATGAAATCACTTGTACTTTGAACTGTATTGGATTAGTAACTCTGAAATTATATGATTGAAATACTCTGTGTATTTACTACAATTATCTTTCCTTCATACAGTGCTTACAAGTGAGGGAATAGTGTTTATTTCAGACTTCTCCCCTTCTAAAGCTCCTATCAGTTCAGGAAAAAAGGTTTACATTTCCAGCCCTCATTCTAGTCCCGTTCATAACAAGTTGGTATCTGCCACAGGAGCTAAAAAGGCTCTGGATAAAGTAAAAATTCTTATCACTAATGAAAAACCAAGGTATGTATTGACCCTGTGTTTTCTTCTAATGTTCCCCAGAATTATTCTATTCAAACTGATTTATTTAATAATCTTACTGTTAACTTGGTCATTGCATTTTTTCCCCTAGCAAACATTGAAATACTGTATATGTTACAATTTTATTTCTTTCTCAAACAAAATACCTTTCTTCAAATACCTAACAAAATATATCAGTTTTTATTGTAATGTGTTATTAATGTAAATGTTCATGCCAAAATAGGATAAATACTTATAATATTGTTTCATTTTGCAATATCTTTGATGTCAACTTCTTACATTCTTATATCTATTTAAATTCTAGGAATTATAACCCACAAAATTGTCAAAAATGAAACTGGGGATGTCAGTACATTCTTTGTAGCTTAATAAGTGGTAAAGGCAATTTTTGTGATATTTTAAAATTTAAACTCTATAAACTTTCAATAATTGCAGTAGAAACCTAGTTTTAAGCCCTTTATCATTGATGTGAGAAGTGTGTACTTGTCTTACTCTGTGTCCTCCCCCAGTTGATTTACTAGATCCCTTTTTTGATTGGTATGGTGGACAAAAATGATATACTAGTGGGAAGCATTAGGAAATGATGTCCCCTTCCAACTTCCAATCCACCAATACAAAACAATCAAACAAAATAGGCATTACCTGGATAGAATAGGCATTACCTGGATAAAATGTACAAGCCTATATCAGCCCATATTTACTATAATATTAATTTACAAGTGAGATGTATACTTCAGCTGGACTTTCTAAAGTGAATATCACTGGCCAGAAGTCAACACATCAAATGATTTTTTTTAAAAAAGTTTTTTTTTAACTTCCGCCTTTCTTATTTTTATAAATAACTCAAGGCAGCAGACATACCTAAAACTCCTTCCTCTCCTATTTTCCCCACAACAACCCTGTGAGATGAGTTGGGCTGAGATAGAGTGACTGGCCCAAAGTCACCCAGCTGGCTTTCGTGCCTAAGGCGGGATTGGAACTCACAGTCTCCTGGTTTCTAGCCTGTGCCTTAACCACTAGACCAGACATGATAGATTCATTTTGGCCTAGTCAAACCTCATGAACAAAGTGGAATATAAAATTCCTTTCATCACTTCAGAAATGAATGTTACAGCTCTGCAATATATGTTGATACAGTGTTCTCTACTTGCACTATCAATTAGTAAAGGGACAAGAATATAAAACAGTCCTGGTAGCTGTCTGTAAAGCTGTTTTATATACATATATGCAATTATATATGCATATGTAATTTGGTTATGGATTTCATTTTAGTCATTTGATTAATTGCTTGAAAAAACGTAGCCCACTTTCAATTAAAAGTATTTAATAAGTGTATTTGTGGTCTGTTTAGTGCTGAATCAGTAACACTGAATGAATGCCTTCAGCTATCCTACCTTCCTTCCAAGCGAAACTACATGTTATTACTGTACCCAAGAGAAATCTTGGTTCTGGATCTTGAAGTCAATCAGACAGTAGGTGTAATAGCAATTGAAAGAACAGGAGTGCCTTTTCTACAGGTAATCAATACAACTTAAGCATGCTTTAGAAAAAAGTTTGAAACTTTACTCTCTTCTTTCTTTTCACTCTTTTTCTTTCTTTGAAAAAAACCTGCATTCATCAGCTGGTTTTGGTTTGATATACCAGGTGCAACCTAACTTCTTTTCAGAAAGCATCTTCCAAAATACAAAGCAAGTCATTTTACTTTGTATTTTGTATAGAAAGCACATAGCTTTGAATGGTGAACCTGGATTGTTCTATTTCAAGATCCAGTATAGGAACACTTGTGGTAATTCCTACTCATTAAAGTTCATGAAATTTATATTGAGAGTTTTACTCTCAAGAACTTTTTTTTATACCTTTATCTAGGTAATCCCTTGTTGTCAGCGTGATGGATTGTTCTGCCTGCATGAAAATGGTTGTATAACTCTGAGAGTTCGCAGATCTGCCAATAATTTAAGCATTGCACCAAATGAAGAGTCAGGTGAGTTGACCACTCTTATGCCTTGCATCTGAAACTAGGAATTTATGTTTTAACTGAAACTTGGTTTTACTATTATTCAGATTGCATGATTGTTTAGATTACAGCTAAAATTAAAAATGTACAATTTTAGCTTGATATTTCATTATTCAGTGCAGACAATGTGCTGATAATGCAATATGATAAAGCTTTGTGTGAGTACATATATAGAAATAGATGAACTTGGACAGTAATTGAATGGCACAGTCTATATATGCTATGATAATGTACATTGTATGTTCGTATACTTAAGGCTCTAACAACCATTCACTGTGTCTTTTATTATGTTCACTTACTCTCCATGGCATGGCCTATGGCAAATCAACTGCCTCTGCTAGAAAACTTCAACCTCTTTTATATCAATACTGCAAAATAGTTTGAGTTCATATCATATTAATAATATTGTAGTGAGAGACAAAAGACTACCATGAGAGCACTCAACTCCAAGGACTGACAGCTGCAAATGTCTGTTATCTTACATTTTAACATTTACAGATCCTGACCCCATTCAGGAGCTCATCTATGACTTACGAAGTCAGTGTGATGCTATCAGGGTTACCAAGACTGTTCGCCCATTTAGTATGGTGAGCTGTCCAGTGAATGAAAATTCTGTAGCTCTTATAGTCAGTGATGGAAGGGTAATGATATGGGAGCTGAAGTCCACCATTTCAGGCCCAGGTATACGTACCAGGTAACTTAGTCTCATTTTTATTATATATGCCCACAGGAAATGTTTAAAGATCAAATAAAAATTATTTTATTTATTTATTTAGATTTCAGATTTGGATGCCCATCTCACAAGGAATGACTCTGGGCAGTTTACACTAAAAACAATAAATATTAATTAAAATACAATAAAAATAGTATAAAATACAGTAAAACCAAATACATACATAAATAATATCTTCCAAGGTGCTGGTGATCAAAAAGATATTAACATACAGGAGCATCTTCAAGGTGCTAGCCATTCCCAGGGTTGGTTGCCCCTTTTCTCGCCCCATGCAAGTTGGCAGAGATAGGTCTTGACTGCTTTCCGGAAGGTCAAGAGAGTAGGGGCCTGTCTCACGTCTGGGGGAAGGGTATTCCATAGGGCGGGGGCCACAGAAGCGAAGGCTCTCCTTCTGGGCCCCACCAGTCAACTTTCTTTTGTTGTCAGGGTCTGCAGCATACCCTCTCTGCTTGAATGTGTGGGACGGGTCGATATAATGGGGGTGAGACGGTTATTTATGACACTATTTATAAAATAAATAACCAAAATCATAGCCTGTTTGGGTTACACCTTTCTACAGCCGGAAAGAATGAAGTTTAATACAAATGCCATCTTCAAAAAGTAATGTGAACCATAGTTTGCAGCTAACAACCACATAAAGATAATGCATGACAAAGCTTGCATATGATTTATATGGACAATAGCTGTATCAAGTTTAATAGTTCCTTTGCCACTTGGTGCTACTTGAATCCTAATACTTTACTTTTTAAGGAACAGTACAGTGCTATGGATAAAGATGGTCCTCTTTCTAAATGTTTGCACTCCCACTTACCTAAGTCAGAGCTTTTCATACTTGTTTGTCTTTCAACTTCAAGGAGGTTCTTAATATTTGAAGGAGAAATTGTTTGCTATGTTGGGGTTTCTGGCTACGTAAGATGACAGATACTTAGAGCCAAGTAATATAAGCAACATTAAACAAATTGTATAAATAAAGGCAGGGGCAGCATTTTGGACATAGCTTGCTGTATGCTGAGAATGTATGTGGTCACTAAGAGTTGACAATGACTTGATGGCACATAATCAATTGTTCAATGCTGAGTTTGTAACAGTAACCCCCAAAGTAGTTCTAATGCTGCCCAAATCTAATGAGCTCTTAATAAAGTAAAATGTAGAGTTTTCCAAAGATTTTGTCATTTCTATGATTGTCTGTGGGCATAACTTTCAGGCTAACACACAACATTATAAGCCCATTTTAGATAACTGATCATCAAAAGACAGTGAACTGGTTTATCATTAATAAGCTGGTAGCTTCTACCATCTCCTAGCAACATATTGTTTTAGCTAGCACTGCACTGAACTAAGCTAACACATTAGAAAGGAATTAATGTGTTCTATGTATCTGCATATTCTATGGAGTAAATATTTTAAATGACAATTTTATCACATTTTACTGATTTTTGTTTATCTCAATATATTTCATCAGCTGAAATGTAATTAACACTAGTTAAAACAGTCACTGTTACTCTTAACACATGTTGGTGTAGATAACACATGAAATATTATACATGCATTTTGGTAAATTGAGTAGGGAAAGAAAGAGTCTTTAACAGTACTTGAAAAATGAATTACTTTACTGCAACCATGAATGATAGTCATTCAGATGCTTTTATGGGGAAATTTAAAAGAATACATTCAGAGATGTGTTAGAGAGGAAGTTAAATCTACTCCCTGATGATTTCATTGTAACCAGTGAAAATCAAAGCTGCTTCAGCCTGTTTGGTACCAGCCCTCCTTTGCAATTCTGGGTTCTATTTGCTGGTTATACTAGAAGATAATTCAGTGCTGCACGTTGAAGTTGTCTTGTTGTTATTTTTAGCCATTCCAATGTATCACCCTTGTATTCACCTATCTCGTTCTGTGGAATTCCTGTTGGAACATTTCAGAACAAGCTTCCAGACCTGTCGTTAGATAATATGATAGGTAAGTATATACATGTGCTACATTTATCAACTTCTGGAGGAAAAAAAAAATAGAATTATGACTAAAACAGCTGATGCACACATATGTATGTGCACGTATCTTTAATTTTGCTCACATTCTCACAAAAAGATTTTTGATTGAAATTATTATTTGAAAAAAATTGAAACATGCACAACTTTTTCCCTAAAAGACAGCAGCTATAGTTGTACAGTATGTTTCATGATGTGATCGTGAAGTACGATTAAGTAGTTTACTATTTAATGCATGAACTAATAGTCAAATTATTTTGTAATTACTAATAACTCATTTTAAATAAGCTGATTTACTTTAGTCACTGAAATGATACATGCCTCTGTGAAGGGCAGGGTGTATTCTTTTTTTTATATATATATATAAAAATAAATAACCTCTTCTGTATATGTTTGAAAAATCTGATACCTTGTCCTGCCCAAATGGAATATTTTCAAGTATTATTAAGCAATCATAACTATAAAGACTTTTGTGGCACCTTTCATTGCACAATCATTTATGGGGTAAAGCCCATTATAAGGGCAAATGCAAGAAGTATTACCCTTGGGTGGTAGAAATGCAGATTAGCACCCATACATAAATATTTGGAATGATAATCCAAAAAAACTTGTTGGGTCCTTGGTGTTCTCTCAGCCTGGTTGTTTGCTTGCAGATGTTTCATTACCGACCGGGTTAGCTAGTCTCAGGGAAACAACCTTCTGCAAGCAAACAGCCAAGCTCGGAGAGCACCAAGGACTCCACAATTCACCTCTTTCTCTTCCTTTGGAACAAAAACCTGTGCCACAGTAAATGTTTTCTTATATTTACAGTGTCGCAAGACTGTTGAAAGGTATTGCTTCTCTTGGATTTTCTAAGCAGTAATGTTTCTGTATTTTAATTCAGCTCCCTGAATTATATTCAGGTCTCTCCCCCATTCTTTAATAACAAAAAGTTGGGTTATGGCAATAAAATGAGAAAGATGTGAGAGAATTAAAAGTTGTGTGTATTCAAGGTAAATTATCAGGAAATAAAACGTGAATTATACTGTGTGGGTGGTTTTGGTTTTGATTAAACATTGCATTATTAAACAGAAGAATGCACCATTCCCACAGAAATTAATTCAGGTTGTTCTTATATAATGCCAATATGAAAAAAGTAACCTTTCAATTCAAGTGAATTCATGCTTGTTGAATGAATTAATTAAGCAATTACCTATTAGAACATTACAGTAATTTAACTACTCTTCTGTGGTATTATTTACACACACACACACACATACACACACACACTAATATAATTTTATTTATACACACCCACACATATATATCACTACATAATGCCAGAAGCAACTTTTGTGTTTTCTGTCCCACATTAAAAAGGTCAAGGTGCACTGTCTACCGAAGAGCAACTAAAAAGTTATTGTTTGCAAGAAGTGCATTTGAAGTTCCTTTTAACAGGACTACTTTCAGGACTTCCTTTGCCTCCATTTGCTATTCGCATGTGTCCACCTCTTACCACTAAAAATATTAAGCAATATCAGCCGTTGCTTGCTGTTGGTAAGTATTGTTTGAACAGCTTATTGCTCAGTTTGACTGTGAAATAATACCTTTGTGTAATAAATTCAATGCAGTTTCACAAATTATTTCTATAGGAAATAGCATGTCACTAAGCTGCTTTAGTCCTTTTTTTTCTTAAGTAAATGTTTTCAAAACTTCATGAAAATATGTATCTTACTTCCTCTTGATTTTTGATATTCCTGCCTCATATATTTTAGAAATTGCAGCTGATAACATATTTTCAGTTTATATTTCAGAATATAAAATGCTGGAAATGCAGTGTTCTAAAATGAGTCCAACCAATTATTTCTTTAATTTTAGCTTTAAAACACTGTCTCAGAAAGATGTGCCAATATTTTCATGTAATCTGCTTTTAAAATATTTTAGTGATTCATCTACTCAAGCAGTTATAAAATTAAGTAGATGATAGCCAGCCTGATCCCATCTTTTTTGTTTGTTTATATATTATTCATATTCTGTATATGTATGTATGTATGTATGTATGAATGAATGAATGAATGGCTGCTTAGCTTTTTGTTGCCTTTAACAGTGCAATAGATTTCTTGAAGGTATAATTTTGGTTATATTTTCCTAAAAATTATTATTTGTCACCCAATAAGAATTCTCTAGGTTATATGTTAAATACCACAGAATTGTCCTCATAAATAACATTCTATATAGATGAACAAATACTAAAATAGTCTATTAAAATCCAAATGCCTAAGAAGCAGTCCACAGTCCACAGACACGAAAAAGCAGTTTCTAAAATAACACAATTTAAAAGTACTGTGAACATACACCAGATGTGGAAAAAATAGGAGGCAGGAGTATTAGGTAATAACAGCAACAACAACAATAATGGATCCAGGTGAAATTCTCTGGGGTGGCACTTGAGAATTCAGAGTCAGTGCTAAAAAGGCTTACTGGAAGCTGTAATGAGGAGCTTGTTATCTTCCCAGTGTTACCATCTGACTCCCATCATCCCTGTCCATTGACCATACAGTTAATTTTCTTTCTTATTCAGGTTAAAGAGAACAATTACACTTATTACTCTATATCATATTAAGGAAGCTACTGTTTATAAATAAGGATAATTTGTCTTGTGTAATAGTGTGTCAGAATGTTCAATACCTAGCTATTGCTTTGAATAAATTATCCATCTTCCTGGAAAGTTGGAGCTGGTCTTTATCTTTGAGTACTTTAAGTAGAAATTTGGAGCATTAAGGATGTTTCCTTCAACAACAGCTGCCTGTCTATATAGAGGGCTTACGTCACCTCCCAGTTGGACTACTGCGATGCGCTCTACATGGGGCAGCCCTTGAAGAGTATCTGGAAACTTTAGCTGGTACAAAATGTAGCAGCACAAGCAGTTATGTGTGTTTCTGATAGATTATACCTGTGCTTTGTGAGCTGCATTGGTTACTAGTTTGTTTCCAGATCCAATTCAAGGTGCTGGTGTTGACTTTTAAAGCCCTTCATGGCATGGGACCAAGCTATTTGAGGGACCGCCTTTCCCTAATTTCATTCCCGTCCCACCAGATCCAGCAGAGAGGGCATGTTATGGGTACCATCGTCTAGGAAGCTACATTTGGCAGACCCTAGTTAACGGGCGTTTTCTGCTGTGGCACCCACGTTGTGGAATCTTCTCCCGTCTGAGGTGAGGTTAGCCTCATCGCTTCTGAGTTTCTGAAGGCCCCTCAAGACCTGGTTATGTCAGCAAGCCTGGGAACCTCAGGGAACTGGTGAACTAGTGAGGTGGCTCTGTCATTTTTAACATCCCTCTGGCTATTATTTTTTGTATTAGCTGTGCTTTTATAGTTTTTAATAATGATAATGATTTTAGATTTGTTTTTTAGATTTGTTTTATTTGTTTATTTATATTTCAAATTTGGATGCCGCCCATCTCACACAAAGTGACTTTTTATCCTGCCTTTATTATTTTTATAAATAACTCAAGGCAGCAAACATATATAATACTTCTTCCTCCTCCTATTTTTCCCCAACAACAACCCTGTGAGGTGGGATGGTCTGAGAGAGAGTGACTGGCCCAAAGTCACCCAGCCGGCTTTCATGTCTAGGGTGGGACTAGAACTCAGAATCTCCTGCTTTCAAGCCTGGTGCCTTAACCACTAGACCAAAGTGGCTCTCATTTAATTAATTAATCAATCAATTAATTAATTGTTTTAGCTCTGTTGTACACTGCCCAGAGTCACTGGCTTTGTGAGGTGGGCGGCTATATAAATTAGACAAAATAAATAAATAATGTTGTAAAGCGTTGCTGTTTTGCTATGGATAGTAGCCTACATTTTAATTCTTGCTGTGGAGGGCAGCCCTGTTTCAACAGTCAGCATAGAAATATAGAATGGAAGAAAAAGAAAAATTAAATCAACAGACTAATTGAATTTACAAAGTTGAATGTAAAACATTAACATAATTCTGTCATTTATATATGTAATGAAAATGACTCTTTGCAGGAACAAGCAATGGGTCAGTCTTGGTGTATAATCTTACCAGTGGATTCCTATATAAAGAATTAAGCATTCATTCCTGTGAAGTCAAGTGAGTTGCTTTTAATTGTTGTTGATCCTGGAAGGGGGGGGGGAGAAAATAAAAATCTTTAATACAAACATTTGGCTTTTTCTGAGATGATATTCCTTCAGTAAAATAATTTTACTACTTAAATCGAACCATGGTTGATTTATTGTGAATATGGTTTTGCATAATAAATATTTGGATTTGTAACTAATGTGCATGTTGACTGAGGCTGAACATAAACTTTTTCTTTTTTTAGTACATTGCAGCATAGACATTCCTGCCTAATTCAAATTAGACAGATTCAAACCATATACGAGAGGCAGTTTCTTAGTTTTTCCTCATTAAAAAATGTGTCACCCCCAATAGCCAGCAGAGCTTGGGATCATGAATAGAGGATCATTCAGAGTTGGATGAAAAAAGGCTGCTTAACATTCCCCACTGTTCGCTCAAAATCATTCTGATTTTCTCACAGGAGAAAGTACAGTGCCTATTTTTCTCATGTAAAAGGATAGGTCAGGACTGCACAATACATCAAACCCAGATGATAACATCCTAGTCTTGTTTGGGGTTTCTGCTATTCCTTATTTATTCATTTAAAAAAAAAAATCAGGTAGAATAATGAAATCATAAATAGCTTGGCTGTTGTTCCAAGAAGGCTGTTTCATTCAAAATTATTTTGTTCTTTGAGAATTCTTTTTGAGACATTTGTGCTGTTATGTCTTAGATGGTAGCTGGTTCTTTAATTAAGAAAATGCAGTCTCACCATCTATCAGATTATAAATATTTAAAAATATCTGAACTAAGAAACACTCTATCTATCTATCTATCTATCTATCTATCTATCTATCTATCTATCTATCTATCTAACTTGTCCCCACCCATCTCCCCAAACAGCTATGTGATCTTGAACATAAAATTGCCTATTTTCCATCTTGGGTCAGTTAGCATGAGAGGAGAGAGAGAAGGAAAA